AAGCTTGCATGTACCAAAAATCAACCCCTTCGAGATCTTCATATCGGTCAATCCCCCACGGAGTCATCCCATACTGATCTCTGAACACGTGAAGCAAGAAATCAAGTTTGAACATCTGAAGAGAGCACCAAGTCTGAATAAGAATCCCCCCATCTTTGAGTACCTGTTATGGATGCAATCTTCGAGTACTTGTTATGGATGCATGAATGTGCATGGGGTGCATAAATGGATGCCATATCATGTTCCGTCATTTCCATGGAATTTATGTGCTTTGATTTTGATTTTACGCAAGTAAGGGATGGAAAATTTTAACACAAGACTTATAAATATGATTCCCTGGAAATAACAAAACATGTATGTTAAGCACGTGGTTAACTATGTTATGTATGCAAAGACATGGGATCAAAGTTCCATCATTTCTGAATATGATTGTCGCACCGTTCCTAAACTGTATGAATATCATCAGATCAAAGATCTGACATGGCTTCCGCACATGTAACACCAAGCACGGGATCAAGGTTTCTGGACCACCTAATATTGTTCAACATTTTCTGAACATGTTAGAAATACCAAGATCGAAGGCCCGAATGAACCTTCGAATAAATAAGTCAGGAACTCATAAAACAAATATGAATACTATACGGTCACCAACAGAATATAGCATCTGAATAAGCCACCAACAAAAATCTAGAACATAACCATTATAACCAATAATCACTGTCTGATCATAGTCACCATCTGTACCTGTGAAAAAATATTTCCCTCCCCACCCACGGGTGAAAACTAGGTCAGGGTAAAGCCAAGGGTAACTCAAAATCATGGGTCCGTCTGGAAGCATTATCACCATTTGACATATGTGGAGGATGATAGCACCCCATTTGTACCTCATATAAGCACAAGCGACATGACCGCATAGTAGGACCTTCATTCAGTAGCGGTCATGTTCCACTCTATTCCTAGGTTTCCTAGATAGTGCACTCTGGCCAGGGTACTAGGCCTTTTACCTCTATAGTAACACCCACCCAACAAGAAGAAAATCCAGTACAATAGTAGTATATAGAAAACAGTAAAATGTAATGCATACATATGCTGAGGTAATAATGTATGAATGAATAAATAAACATAAAGCATAAAAATAAACATCCGAAGAAAAGAAAACAAGATCTAGGATCGACTCCGGGATGGACCAGCAATTGGTCGAACTTCCCCTAGTGAAGTTGCCAGCTGAAACAACCGGCTGAAAATCATCAAACAATAAAGTCTCCATTGAACGTCTTTTATCCCACATGAAGGGAAAGGTAAACATCGAGAAAACCTAAGAAGGGAGAACTCACGGTCTTGCGACCGAGAGATTGGGTAAGGGAGTCTGTTATGCGAGGGGAAGGTATTAGCACCCCACACGCCCGTAGTATTCTACGGTATCCACTCTTGTTATCTATCTTATAGGTGTATTTAACTTATGCTTATTGTTTACTACTGAGAAAGAATGCATGCAAAGGAAAGGAGAAAATAACGTAGGGAAAATAAAGTTGTAATCGCTTGGGCCCTACCATAATACCTACGTATCCTTTTGGAGGAATCAGAGTTACCATAGTTTGGCTAACATGTTTTGTTTATTTTGTGTTTTTTATGGACAATTTTAATTCCGACTTCTGCCGTGGCTCGACCTTTGGAGACTTGCGCGTTGGCACAAAAGTAAATCAATCATGTCCTTACTTGAAAAGGGTTTTGAGTTACGCCCTCAAGGCAAGATGCCACATTTGATTGGTTTGTGTTTTGTCACCTTAAAAAAGGGTTTAAATGTGATTAGCATGTTTTATGATTTGCTAAAAATGAAAGTTTTAGATGAATATACAAAAGGTGAAGAAAAGAGTATACGGAGACTAGCCTATTTCTAATCCTAATGTTATCATACAATGGTAGTCCTAAGGTTTGGATTAACAAAAGGGAAACATCTACCTAATGTTAGCATGCATGGCTTGCAACCTAAGGTATAACTTGCATCTGAAAGGAAAAAGTGTATCCTAAGGGAACATGGTATGTACAAGGATAAAGCAAGCAAGCTCGAAAGAGCACACACATAAAAGAGTAAGGAAAAGAAACGAAATGCTTTAGCCAAGGGGAGCAGATCACCTGAGACAAACAAGTGGGAGTGAGATGTAAGACAAAAATGTGTTGTCCAAAGCGACTGAACACCTAACCAGGATAAATAAGATCGAGGTAGGCGACAAAAGACAATATGAACGATCATGGGGTACCAGCATCGGCCAATGCAAACTCCTGACAAAGCATGGGGGTTAGATTGTGGAATCCTTCCCTACTTGACGACTCAATACACATGAGCAGGAACAACTCTGAATCATCATGGTACGTCACGAGCTAAGGATGACACGGACGAAATTGCGAGGGTTAATCGCGAACCCTCCCTGCTCGCCTCCTTTTGATGAATTCAATAAGGGATGGGGAATAATGCGGGCACAAATGTAAACACTCTTGCAGAATACCTACACAAAGGTAGGGTTTTAAACTAACCACACACAAGTAGCAAACAGTGGCAAATAATGCAGAATTTCCCTAAACGGGTCTTTAAATAAACCATAGGGGTTCCTGACATGATCAACAATGAAGACCCCCATCATACATCTCTACGCTACTTCTCATGGCATCAAAAAGCAGTAAAGCCCTACTTCTCATGATCTCTAGAAAGGCGGTAAAGAAATGTGATAAAGTGCGGAAATGAGGAATAAAATAAAGTTGTGATGATATCAAACAGAGAAGGTCCATTGCCTCTTTGAAATCACGCAAGCAAAGAGAAAACTCTATAAAAATCTTCCCTGGATTTCTTTGATGAAAATTGTGCTCTTTACTAGCTTTGAAAACTATTCAAGTCTTCATCCAAGTCTCTTTTGTTTTCTAATGTCATAAAAAATCAATCACGAGAATTAAAAAAAATGGAATTGAAATCAAAAGAGCACATGAGGCTTCAAGGGGTGTGCATGCCTAATTCAGGATGCTACAGAAGTAGAGAGCACTAGGCCCATTAGGCTTGATTCACAAATAGGTTTTTTTTTTACAAATCAGAAAGCTAACAAAAAATTCCCTTTGGGCTAAGGGCAAGGGTGGACCGGTCCATCAAGGAATTAAACCTACATCTATAATACACTCAAATATTGTTTAATATTGTTTAATTATTAAGTTAAAAGTTAAACAACAATTTAAACAAAAGGTGTAACGAAACTTAGACAAAAAATTAGGGTTGAGCTTCATCCCCTTTCAGGTTCTTCCCCTTCTTATCTTTCAGCCGCGGTGGCACCGTCTATCCGCAACCGTCTCCATACTGTTTACTTTGCCGTGAAGCCTTTTCTACCTCTGTCTCTTTGAATATTTCCGTCTCAAAACAAATTCGAGCACCACCGTTCTCACGGATTGTCATCACCTTATTTTTCTTCTTCATTTCATCACTACCGAAACAAACGCCAATATAGTTTATTCCTCCACCATGAGCACTCTCGTCAACCTCTCCTCTCCCTCGACTCAACCTATGAGACCGTGTCTTAATCTCACTCTCTCATCTTCCACCAATTTCATTCAACACTCGAAAAGGTTCAAAAATCTACACACAGCAAAATAGAGAAAGACGAAACCTGTATTTGTGGCTTCGAAAGAAATAACGAAAGACTAGTGGCAAGGTAATATTATGCATCAATTACTCTTCACTTTACTGGGATTTTTCGTTCCTTCCTCTCTGATTTTTTATTCTGTTTCGATGGCCACTCGAATGAATTTGTTGTTGTTTTTGTTTTTGTGGATTTGCATAATGAACTCTGCGAAGCAAAATCAAAGATGATGATTGTTGAAGATTCTTGATGTGATGTCAAGGTATGAAAAATATGTTGCGGATTTGTTTTGCGTTGATGTAGTTTCGAAGAATAATCTGATGAAAATGGAGATGAAGAGAGGATACCGAGAATTCAGAAATCGATGATGACGAAGAAGTAGCAGTGATGTGCTTCAGAGAGATACCAGAGAGTATTTGAGTTTTTGGTGGTGGTATTGGAGAAGTGTATTGATGCGGTTATGCTTGATGGCGGTACACTATGAAGAGAATGAATTAAGCTGATGAAGGTTGAAATGGAAAAGATGAAGAATGAAGTGAAAGTTGAGGATGAGAGGATGAGAGAGAGAGAGAGAGAGAGAGAGAGAGAGAGAGAGAGAGAGAGAGAGAGAGAGAGAGAGAGAGAGAGAGAGAGAGAGAGAGAGAGAGAGAGAGAGATGATTTTATGGTGAGTTTCTCCTTTCTATTCTTATTCTCTCTTTTTCTGTTATCCCTCCTCTGTTTTCTGTTGGAAGGTTTTTTTTTTGCTAGACACTTAGGAAGTTAGAGGTTGCTTAGGAGGTTAATAATCTGACAGTTAAGAAGTTAGAAAATTAACAGGTTAATTGGTTAGGAGGTTAGGTTTTGGTTAGAGGATTAAACAAATATGAGGGGGAAGGCTTTTATATATGGTGTAATATGAATTCAGTTAGAGGGTGTATGCATCTTAGCCTTAGGATCTGGATTTTATGTTATAAAAATGAATGGTGCAATAGAGAGGTTAGAGAATTAGTTATTATGTTTGGAAGTTAGTGTTATCTAATTCTAAAGGTCAGGATTTGGTTTAGGAAATGGTTTGGAAATCAATCATGGTTTAGGAAGTTGACTTGTTAGAACCGGATTCATAATTGAATTTCTCTAAGTACTTAAACTACTTCTCTTACCTGAATGGTTTTGAACATCCCATATTGGGTAATTTGCCTAAACCGATGTGCACCTGAGCCATATAGTTTTTGTATTTAGATTTTTTGTATTTTGGATTTTGTGATGAAGTATGTTGTACTTCAGGACTCCCATTCTGGATCCTTTTGTGACGTTAATGTATTGACATATAAATTCCTAAACTATTTTATATTTCAAATTTGTCTTGCTTCTGAACTGACGCATGTGTGATCCTATTTCTATTCTAACAGCTGCCAGGCCTTAACATATCCTTTGTAGCAGCATCTTCACTGGAGCCATGAGCAACAATTTTCTTCACTACATTGATGATGTCTGGCTCTGGTATGGAAACTGATAATGATTTCAAACGGTATGCTGCCTTTGAATTGTGCTCTGTTAGATTTTCTTTCTTTTGAATGCATAATGACATGAAGTGAAATGAGCATGAACATGGCATGTTTGGGAGGCTGGTGCAGTGATGATGATTTTTTTTAGAGATGAGCATTCGAATGTTGTGTCGTAGCTCTGTCATGGACATGTGTCTCTGTTCATCTTTTTTTTCTTCTGAAGCGGTTTTGTATGTTGTAGGTCATGGAGATGGCATAGTTATGAAGTTGGATAAAGGTGTAAAGTTAAAGAAAGAAGTTATAGTGGTGAAATAATCGTGAAGATTGGCTCTTAGACCTTGAAGAATGGTTAAATATGGATGTTGGTTATGGAGTATTTGAAGGCTTATGCATGAAGATTAAAATGGGGACATTTAGATAATGTGTTTTTTTGTAACTTTGGTGTAATATAGCTTGAAATGTATTGTATTTGAAATTGCAATGGTCAAGGTTTTGAGTTGAAATGGATTGAAGGGTAATGGTTTCTTTTTACTTCGTAATGAATAGATTCTATTCTTCCAAAGTGAATTTTGTATCTCCCCTCTAAAACTTTTATATTGACGTTCCAATCATAAACTTTTCTTTAGCAAAAATTAATCTATTATCAGCCGTGAAAAACATTCCCTCCATTGTACTTATTTTGAATCCTATGCTTTTCACCTTTGCACCTTTGGATTATCATCACTAATGGGATAAATAAATCATGTTGACTTAGGAAGGACTTTTGGTTAAAACATGATTGACTGTGACCAAAAGTTGAAGTCTCGACACTTGACCTCCCATCTCGAAGTGATTCAATAATCTCAAATAAAACTTCACCCTTTTGTATTAAATTTTGAGGTAATGACTCGTAACCAATAATGACCCAGAACCAACCCTTTTCTGATAATCATGAGTAAGGGATACTAACCCTAACTTAAATAGTGATTGCATTCATGAGAGGATGATAAGGACTTCCATATATAACACAGAGTCTTTTGAATGCAGCCCAATTGAATGATTTGTACATGAGAAGAAGTCCATCAGGAATGTATGACTAAAGCCTTGAGGTCCATCTTATGACCATAAGCACGTAGAGGAAAACTCTGATTGATGAATAAACAAATTCGACCTTAAATGAAGATGAGAATCTCTAGCTGATCACGAAACCCAATTTCTCAAGATCCTTGATCCCATGCTGAATTTATTGACAACGCATGATTTATTGTATGACCTTATGGAAAAATGCACATGAAAACATGCAAGATGCATAAGCCAGATGATTTGATGAAAGGGTAGCACAAATTTGGGGTATTACACATATATTTTTGCATAATTAATAAATAATTATAATATTTTTTCTATTAAAAATACTTAATATATTTTAATAGTTTCTTATCAATCAAAAAATGAGGGGTGCCTAAAACCTTAAACCTAAACCCTAGTATCCTTATGAACAAGGTAAATGAGGGGTGCCTAAAACTTTCCCTTTGTCTAAAGCGAGTCAACAACTTAGAATCTCTGATCTAAATTAGGGTTATCTGTTATATTCCCGTCTTAGGATAAAAATTAATAGTGGTGACTCTATACTTTTTGTCGGTTACTACAAGTAAATATAGACCTTCGTAGGCTAAAATATACTTCCCCTTTGTCTAAATATGTCTTTGAGACTGAATTTCCAAGGGGTTGGAAAGTCCCAAAGTTCATGAAATTCTCTAGTGACACCAGCGAATCTACTGTCGAACATATAGCCAGGTATCTTACCGAGGTTGGAGACATAATGAATAATGAAAACTTAAAAATAAAATACTTCCCTAGTTCGCTAACTAAATATGATTTCATATGGTTCACCACCCTCCCAGCGAATTCCATCCATGATTGGACTCGTTTATAAAGGTTATTCCATGAACAATTTTACATGGGACAATCAAAGATTAGTCTCAAAGAATTGGCCAGTATCAAGAGAAAGTTTACTGAGCCAATTTATGACTACTTAAATAGGTTCCATTTGTTGAAGGCAATGTGTTTTACACAAGTTCCTAAACATGAGTTGGTCGAAATGGCCGCAGGTGGTTTAGATTACTCCATTCGAAATAAATTAGACACCCAATACTTGAGGGACATGGCCTAATTAGTGAAATACTTGAGGGTTGAGATGGTGACATACAGAGAAACAGTTGAAATTAGAATCAAATTAGGAAAGATTTAGGATGTCTCCGGAACTAATGTTGGTAACACCAAAAAGTCTTTTGGTGGTTATCGAAAGAAGAAAGATAGTGAGGCTAGTGCACTCTATGATCAGAAAGGTAAAGGTAGGGCTCATCAAGAGTCTGATCACCAAATTGTTGTTGTGGCAATCCCAGTTGCTGAACCTTAGCAGAAACCATATGCACCTAGGCATGGCATTCAACAAAGGCAGAGGTGACCTCCCCAAAAGATAGATGTGCTACCTCTGTCCTCCGCCGAGTTACTATCGTAGTTACTCGAGTTGAATTTGGTTGAGAAGCATACCTTGTATATCAACACTGAAAGTTGCCACTCAGTTTTGATGCAAATGCCAAGTGTAAATTTCATTTTGGTGGACAAGGACATACCATCAAAAATTATATCATGTTCAAGCATAAAGTTCAAGACATGTTGGACTCTCGAGCTATTAATTTTGGCCCAACACCCAATATCACTAATCATCCTTTACCACCTCATGACGGTCCCACTATCAGTGCCATTATTGAAGAGGAAAATATGAATTTGGTTATGGATGTTAACCAAATGACTACACCTCTCTCGTTTGTGAAAGAGAAGTAGTCTCATAATGGTGTATTTATGGGCTGTTATATGGACTGTGCAGATTGTTTGATTCAGCCAAATGTTTGTCAGTGTTTGAAGGATGCAGTTTAGGATCTGATTACCAAATCAAAGATAATTCATGTTCCTGTTACAATTCCAGTTCCAGCGGAAAAGTCTCCAGTAACCATTATTGTACCTGGATCAGTACCATATGTCAGTGATAAGGCCATCCCCTGGAATTATGGTGGTGAGCTTTACTATCAGGGGCAAAAGCTTGTTACTCAAAAGTTTGAGGAAAGTAAGTCTGAAGAAGAGAAGCCTGCAATGCATCAAATTGTTAGTGAGAGCCAGATAACCCGCAGTGGTCGAATCTTCTCTCCGCCTGAAAAACATAAAAGTAATGCAGATGCCATATCTAAGGCTAAGGGCAAGCAGATTATGGTTAATTGTGAGAAATCAGGGAAAAATCCTACTACTTCGAGTGGGGATGCAGACTTGGCCAAAGATGTGGAAGAATTGATGCGATACATAAACAAAAGTGACTATAAGATTATTGACCAGCTGAGTCAGACACCCTCAAAAATCTTAATTATTGCTTTGTCAGAGATTCCAAATCCCATAGAAAGGCACTGATGAAGCTGTTGGAGACTTATTTTGTTCCTTAAGAAATCTCAGTGAATCAATTTGAAGGGATTGTAAATAGTATTTCTGCAAGTAATGGGCTCGACTTTATAGATTTTGATCTACCCCCTGAGGGGAGAAAACACAATAGAGTGCTGCACATCTCCATGGAGATTGCAAAGACCACTCTATCTCGTATGCTGGTTGACATGGGTTCCTCTCTCAATGTGTTGCCAAAGTCTGCTCTTATGAAGTTGGATTATGATGGGCTCGTGCTGAGGCCAAGTGATTTGATTTTCAAGGCGTTTGATGGTTCTCAAAGGATTGTGTTTGGGGAGGTTGATTTTCCTATCAAGATAGGTATCCCGGTCTTTGATGTCACATTCATCATTATGGATATTAATCCTTCTTATTGCTGCTTACTAGGTCTTCTGTAGATTCAAGGGACTGGTGCTTTCACTTCCACCCTGCATCAAAAGTTAAAATTCTTGTTGAATGAAAAGGTGGTCACCATTTAAGGTGAAGAAGATTACGTCATCAATCATATAAGTACCTTTCTCTATGTTGAAGTGGAAGGAGAAATACATGAGACTTCGTTCCTAGCATTTGAAATCGTGCAGGTTATCAGAACTCCTCGTCAAGAGGTTAAGAAGCCAAAAGCCTCTATGGTATCTTATCATCAAACACAAGAAGTTGTTCATTCTGGTCATCCTAAGGGCTGGGGCAGAGTGTTGGATATCCCCACACAGATGGACAAGAAAGGTTTGGGCTTCGTGGCTAGATGAAGCATGCCAAATGTTGTTCCTCTTAATATTCAAGGTATTCCTCCATGTATTAATTTTGTCAGTGGTGGTGTTATTCATGAAGAGGCTCATGCTGTGAGCGGAGAAGGGGATAGTAACTGTGAAATGGACAAGTGGATCCATCCTACCGTTCCCGGTCAAGAGCCTATTAATTGGTTTATTGAAGACGTCATTAAAGATTAATTTTCTTTTATTTTTATCATGCAATAATTCCTACGTTCTGCCCAAGCATAATGAACATTCTATAGGGCCACAATTTTTTTCTTTTCAAAATTTATCATCAACAAAGGACGTCTTTTTTCATTCAAATATTTCGCTCCTTGTATTTCTTTTTATTTTTCGAAACTTTTGGCAATGTGATTTTTCTTTTTCTTTTTTAATCTTAAACTAAAATAAAAATAAAAACGATCATGCAGATATTGTCCCCCATTAATCTTTGAATTTGTCGAAAACGATTATGCTATGTCTCATTATGACTTTGAAAATCCAATCTATCAAGCTGAAGAAGAAGTTGAAGAAGATTGCGAACTTCTCAATGAGTTAGCCAGATTGTTGAGACAAGAAGAAAAGGTAATTCAACCGCACCAAGAAACTATTGAAGTGATCAACTTGGGTACCGAGGAGGTCCGAAAAGAAGTCAAGATTGGGGCCGCTTTAGAATATGGTGTCAAACAAAGATTGGTTGAAATGCTCCGTGAGTATGTGGGCATCTTTGCTTGGTCTTATGAAGACATGCCTAGGCTGGATACGAACATTGTTGTGCATAAACTACCTCTTATAGAAGATTGTCCTGCTGTTAAACAAAAGCTTCAAAGAACTCATCCTGAGATGTCTAAGAAGATCAAAGTGGAGGTTCATAAACATTTTGATGCGGGTTTCTTGAAAGTGACTTCTTATCTGTCGTGGATTGTGAATATTGTGGTAGTTCC